GCCTGCGTGACAGAGTGAGATTCCGTCTAAAAAAAAAAAAAAAAAAAAAAATTGTAGCTTTGAATTTTAAACATCTGTTTTATAAGAAATTCATAGTTCCTTCTCTTTAAAATAATGTAATGTTTCCTTTAAGAATGAGCCTGGTTTGATGTCTCTCTACCCAACATGATAGAAGTGTGGCAAAAATCTATGAAAAATTCCAATTCCCTGTGCCTACAACAACTACCTGGGAATGAAAACTTCTTCCCTTTCTCTCGTCATTTCTTCTACACCTACTTCCACTTAATCTGTGACTCAAAACAATACTTGTCAGGAAACCTTCTGGAAGGAGCAAAAGACTTCCTTAGAGGTGTCAGAGATTCCTGTACCACCATCTGATGATCTCTAGAGGGGGTTGTGAGTGTGAGGAAGAGCAGAGCTTGTAAATCTACCTGCATTCACTCCTACTGTATTTCCTAACAACAGCAATCACATCAACACCTGTAACACCATAGGACAAGCCTCTACTACTTCCAAGGCTTTTATTTCAGTAAATCTCCTCTACATCTATCTCAGGCAGCTAGAAAGTTTGATACTCATACAAATAGTATTGTAGCTTTTTGTTCATAATCGGAAAAGCAGGCGAGACCCAATGGCATTCCTTAAGCCAGTTAGCATTCTGTTTTTGGATCACCATTGTACACATGTACCGAGCACATGTCTAAGATAGATGTAAAAATCCATGGAGCAAGAGTTACGATAGCTTGTGTTTTCTATTGTATTTTATTTTCCTCTTATATCATCTTCTCTTCTTTGTCATTAAAAAATATGTCAAAGTCAGTCTAAATTAGTGATTGGATCATAAGTAGATAAAATCTTTTATTTGATAACACATTGACCCATTTGATATTTGATAACACATTGTTTCTTTGCAAGACATAGTCTTCATTTCCAAGATAACAAGACTGACAAAATTATACTGGAGCAAGTCCACAAGTAATGATGGTAGCTTATCCTTATTGTCCTGCAGCAAGAATTAGACAAAAGATAACAAGGTAGAATAAAGATTACATAAGAAAGAAGGACCGCAACAGGACATGGTAACCTTTTATAGTGTAGCATTTTGGTAATGGATGATGAGAAGTAATGTGTTAGACAGGGATGGGTGGGAATGATTGAAGGCCTGAGTACTTTAGCACAGATTAAGACCAAATCATTAAGATTTTTAGAGTTGTATACAGGTACTAAGAAAAAGCCTTAGAATTTAATTTGACTGTGGTTAAAACATCCTTGGATTAGATTTAAGACTATTTTCCATGCTGTTTATTTATGATAATGATGATGACTGTAGTGCTTAATATTGAATCAATAAGAACAAAATTAATTGCCCCATAATGTCCTGAATACTATTGTAAATGTTTCGTGTTATTTTCTTTAAACTGTCTACTGCACTGTAAGGTAGGTACCACTATTGTCACAGTTACACAGATATGGAAACTGAGACA